CTGAAAAGGGACCTGCCTAAAATATTAAGGTTCTTAGGTCTCCAGAACCATACAGCAACTCTGACAGAACTTCTTTATGGTCTAAAATGAAATATTTTTGATGGAGGATTGGCACTGGTCCTACAATCAATGTGGTTCACACCCATGCTTTCCATGATTTTCCTCCTGAGAAGAGCTGGTAGGACAACAGGCATAACATCCTCGTGGTTAACAGCATCATGCCTATGAAAATCCAGGAAAACACGTGGTATTCCAGAGCACCTACAGCCCCTGGCACTGCATAAATGAGGATGCAGAGATCCAGCCCGCAGAGGGTTACTCTGACATAGAACCACCCACTTCCCTCCTGAGTAGAACTTTGTACGTCCTTTTATTTTATACTCTAATTACTGTACAAATATTTATTATCTTTTAACCTGTGCATCTCAAATGGGTGATTGTTTCTGAATTGTAGTCACTTAGAAGTCCCACTTCCTTGTGAGATACAGTGTGAAGCATGGACAAGAGCCTCCTTCTGGAAGGATCCTCCAGCATCCACTGGACAAAGGTTGAGTTTGTACCTTGTGCCCCTTAGAAGGAAAGAATTTTCTCATCCTTCTACACAGCCCGTCTCCTAAACAAGAGAGGACAGAAATAAATGCTAAACAAACCAGCTGGTATCACCATTAGAAAAAACAAACAGAAGAAAATGGGCATATTCAGCTGGCTTAAATGCCACCAAGTGTCATCTCTGTCTCCTGTTTCCTGCTGTCTGATTCAAAACACTCACTCTGCACTTCCCTCAGGCTTTCTGAATTGCTCTCCAGAGGCACTAAACCCACTACAGGCACAGACATTTAGCTGGAATTTAGGCTGGCTGGAAATGGCTCAAAGCAATTTGAAAACAAGTTAGAGCCACAGAAATAGAAATGTTCTCCTTGTTCATTGATACTCTCTGCCCCTTGAAGACCTAATGTGGACTAATTGAAGGTCTCAGATTTCATGGGACAATTTTCCTGTAATGTTCATAAAGAGTTCTTTTGTTCTGATATTTTTAATTTTGGGATCAGATCTTGGCAGAAGGAGAAATAACTGAAAAACACAGTATATTTTCACTTTAGTGCTACCTGAAACTTGTCAGCAGGATTTTCATCAATAGCTCTCAATATCTCTCCAAGAAAGGATCCTCGCTGCCTTTCCATGCAATGAAGCAGGCTCTATAAATCCACCAGTATTTCAAATATGTCCTCTGGTGGAAGAGGAAATATTTCTGCCAGTCCTTCTGGTGAAACTCACCCAGGCAGCTGCTGTCATCTGCTTGATTATGCCAAGCTAATAATGCCCATGGGACAGGTGAGGAAATCAAGCTGTGGGCATGTGCTGCTTCAGAGTGACATTAAAAACTGGCAGGAAAGAGCGTCCTGGCACAATGCATGGCTGGAATACAATTAATCTGCCTCAATACCAAACCACACCAATATTAATTCCAGCTCTACAGCCACATGAGTACACTGAAAAGAAGAATACTGCTTTAGAAGACAACTTTATATGGGAAATGGTCCAGCAGCAGATCCTGTTATGCTGCTCTGCTCCTAGGTGGGAACTGTGGTCTTCTATCCCATAGTGGATGCACACAAAAGGCACAACAAAATGAGCAGTGTCTTACTCCACAGTGCTCTACCAGGAGGGAAGAAATCCATCCTAAAAAAGCCCTGAGGCAGGAGAAAGGCCAAGGTCTCAGTGGTTCCCCAGAGGAAAGCATGGTGCAGGAGAGAATCAGCTGTGTTTAGGAGACACTTGCAAGACAAAAAAGCTCTGTGCTCTGCAAAGCAGCTGGATGAGGCAGCAGCCAGCTCCAGTCCCTTCCAAGTGCCCATCTGCTGGAGCAATTACCCAAGAAAGGTTTCCAGCAGCTCCGTGCCACTGCAAGACTCCTTCCTTGGGTGAAGTTAGAAGCTGAAAGGCTCTCATCCACTCCAGTAACATTACTAGTGATGGGAATGGGTCATGAAAGATCCTACAGCAGCTTCATCTGAAGAGGAACAGCAAATCCCAGCTAGTGAGGGCATTGCCTATACAAGTCCCCTTCTGACTTGCTTAGAAAGCACTCAGCAGTCTTCATTTTCTGCATTTATACTCTCCAGACTATTGATTTTCAGCTATTTCGCACACCAAAGAGAAGGGCTTTTCAGCATCTGCCAATTTCTACTGTGAAGTGGTGCCACATAAATGCATTAATTGACTGGGGAGAGCTTTGAAACTGGCAAGCAAAATATCTAACCAATGTTTAGAAAACTCCTCCAATTGCTATTCCCAAATTCTAGCTCCAGGTAGTTTATTTCCAGATGTGTTTCCTTAGTTTCTCTGTGGTTATAGTAAGGACTAATCTTCACATACAGACCCTGTGTGAGGGTAAAGCAGCACATGAGGGAATTCTGGAACACTTCACTGGTGGGCTTCTGCCCCTTCTCCCCCAGTCCCCACACCTGAGCCTGTGGGTAAAAGTGTTTGGACTGACAGAGGTCCAGACCCCCCAGCTTTCCCCAGCTGGCTCTGAGGTCCTTGACCTGCAGAGTGAAACATGGCCTTGGTAGACTACAATTTTAATGGGTAAGTCTAGGATTTTAACCCCAGCTGCTGTAATTCACCATACATTTTTATTTGATCTATAATCCTCAGAAAAGCCACTTCCTATGAAGCCAAGTTGTGCAGGAGTGGCTGCTCTTCTACTGGGAAGTAAAAAACCAGCAACCTTCACAAATTACAAGAGGCTCTGAGCCATCAGATGTGCTCTCCAGCATTTATTATCTGATTTGATGTGTTAATAGCTGATTATTCTCATTAGCTGTTCTCTGCATTGACACAAGCTGTTTTCCTGCACTTAGGCTGTGCAGCCTAGTGTGTAAAGGCAATTAGCATGGGGCCTATGGATTAACTGGGGAATCAGATGTCATCTGTGTCCCCTTTCTCCTTAGTGGCCTAAGGAAATGCTGCTTCTGCAGCTCACAGTGCCAAGAGCCCTGGCTGAGGTGAAGGCACTGATGTACAAGCAGGAAGGCAGGTGCTGCCCTTCTGAACTTGCACCAGGGAAAGACAAGACAAATGAGGCAGAGCTGAAGCAGAGCCATAGAGATTGAGATATTTGTTAAACAAGAATATGCCAAGGGGGAAGCAGGGCTCTGCAAATACACTGCTGTGCAGGAGAGCACTGGTGTTAAAGCACTTTAACCTGGCTGCTGCACTTGCTGTGACTGGTCCCTCCCTTGTGTTAAATAAAAAGTGTCCACTGTGCTAAGGAAACCTGTGCACAGCTGTGCACAAGAACCAATAAAATATCAACCAGGAGGGAGAACTGGGGAAAGCTACAGCACTTAGAAAGAGAAATCTTTGTCTCATGAGGCCTGACATTTCAGCACACAGACGTTCTCTTGTTTTGTTTGAGGTAATGCTGTCCTCAAGGGCAAAATCACTTGATGTGATATAAATGCAAGAAATACAGCACTTCACCTTATTCTGAAACCATCTGAGAACAGAAGCCCTTTTGTTTTGTCCTTTTCTTGTTAGAAGCTGGAAACCAGAGCACAAGACACACCTACATTTGATGCTGAAAAGAGATTGTCTCCACAGCTGGAACAAAGAGCTGACAGACTTCAGCTCTCGGGCACAAAATCCTTGCCCAGGCTGCATGAAACCTTTCTGTTGGCAAAAAGTGTTACAAAAGGTGGGGCCAGATCCTAGAAGGGGCCTGGAAACAGACCTTGCTGCCCATCATGGAAGGATTGCTCAGGGGCTGCTGATGGGTGAAGCAAGGCCAGCATTAACAGCCTGCAGGGCATGCCCAGGACTCAAGTAAAGCAAGGTAAAAATACAGTACATAGAGAAAGCAAAATGTGAATTTTCAGATTTGAGGAGGAAAACATGATGAAAAGCATAAACAATGTGTTAGAAAAGCTGAATCTCAGTTTGGGATCTCATAAAGTCTGCGAGTACAAGACTGAAACAAGAGGGATTTGGGCTCACCTAGATCCCTTTGAAAAGACTAACTGGAACCAGCCTAGGTTTGTGTCTAAGCTCAACTTGGAAAGCCCAAAGAGCTGAGGCAGCCGTAAGGGCTCTCAGTGCTGAATGCGAGGGACATGGGCAAAAGGAGGATGTCACTGCTGGGACCCCAGAGAGGCTGTGCAGCTCAGCATGGAGGGGCAGCCACAGGCTGGTGAGGAGAAAAGAAAGTCCTCACCCACACCCTGCCATCCCCACTGCCCCACGCCTGGTAGGGACAAGCCATGGTTCTGAGGACACTGCTCTGGGACACCCCACAGTGGGGTCATCTCACTGTGAGGTGATGTTGCTGGTACTAATTCATAAATTCAGCTCCTTATCTGCTACAACTATATTCTGGTCCTAAAATTTGCTCCAGAGCATAGCAGAGGAGCCATGGTGTGGATGTGACCTGCCTGCTTTGAGCTTGTGTGAGGCTGAATCCAGGCTAAAAGACTCATGCCCACACATTTTGGCAGCCAGTTAAGTCTACTACAGCTGCCCTGATGAGCAAACCATCACCACATGGATCTGATCAATTGGCTGCCTGTCAGTCAGCAGATTCTTGTGTTCTCCTGATACACCCAGCAACTCACCAAAAACTTCAGCAGGTCCCTGTAGGAGAACCACCTAAAGACACAATGCACTGTACTCTGAGCCATGAGGAAAGGCTGAGGGAATCGGGATCGTTCAGCCTGGAGAAGAAAAGGGTTTGAGGTGACCTCATTGTGGCTTTGCAGTGCCTGAAGGGAGCCCAGAGGGAAGATGGAGAGAGACTCTTGACAGGGGCCTGGAGTGACAGGACAAGGGGGAGTGGCTTCACACTGACAGAGAGCAGGTTTAGATTGGGTATTAGGAAGAAATTGTTCCCTGTGAGAGTGGTGAGGCCCTGGCACAGGTTGCCCAGAGCAGCTGTGTCTTCCCCTGGATCCCTGGCAGTGTCCAAGGCCAGGTTGGATGGGGCTCTGAGCAAGCTGGGATAGTGGCAGGTGTCCCTGCTCTGGCAGGGGGCTTGACACAAGATGATCTTTAAGGTCTCTTCCAAGCCAGGCCATGAAATCCTATGAGTCTATGAAGCAGATTATTCAATCCATAAAAAGTTCTGATCAGCAGAAGCATCTCTGGGTCTGCCCTCCCAAGGGAATCTTCATTATGATGGCCAGGCTAAAGGATGCTGATGATTTGACCTGTACTGATGGTTTGGAAGGTGTGTGCAGTGTATCAGCTGCTACTCCTGAACTTTTTTTGGCCATATGTGGGACCAGTATGGGTCCATAATATGGGTCCATCGTGACAACAGCTGGTTACAATTCCCTTGGAACAGATGACTCTGGAAAAGCACTGTGAGAGCAGAATCCAGTAGAAGGAAATTGTGAGGCTGAATCCAGCTCTTATGCACTGGATATTCTGGCACTGATGAGGAGGGGCATGTCCTCTTCCACGTGGGACAGAAACAGCATCAGGTGTTGAAGTGGGGGGGTGACTGTCACGATTAGGGGGAAATGCTGAACAACACAGCAATCCCACTCCAGGGTAACCACCCATCCTGTGGGATGACACTGAGGGAGCACACACTGGTGGCCTGCAGAGCCATCTCTTACACTCACATTCTTATAAACTCAGAAAAGCAGCCCCAGCCTTTTGAGGAATAACCACAATGGGCACAATGGGAGAAAAAAGCAATCTTATCTGCTTGTTCCCATGAAACCAGCCAGAGAAAGATACAGAACTCAGCGGTGGGCCCTCAGAGACTTGTTTCACATTGGGAATTGAAAGATGTCAGCCACAAGCAGCTGTGACAGCTTTTTAGGCAAGCCAAGTGGTAAATTGATGGCATGTAGTGACACAGATCCAGTTCAGCCTCAAAACACCTTGAGTGGGGGCAAGGGGAGAGCGAGCCACACGCTGCTGTGTGACAGCTGGAGACCCGGGGCTTTGTCCAGCCGTCAGCCGTGTGGCAAGTGAGGTACACAGCCATTCATTCCCCACAAGAAACCTCTCTGGATAATGCAAGCGTGGGGCTGTGTCAGTGCTCACCAGATTTTGCTACGCTTCTCTCTAGCAAAAGCAAAGCCTGCACACACATCACACCTGCAGCTCAAGTAAGTGGGGAAATCCTCACGGTGCCACCGACCCGGCAACGCAGCCAAGTCACAGCAGGATGCCCTTGGCACAGCAAGGTCCTGCCAGCTTGGCTTGTCTGAGCTGCCTTGCCACAGCTGGATACAGCCCTGGGCTCTTGCCTTCTGCACTGAGTATTTTCTCTGAAGTCTTAGGAGGGTTGTCAGCAATAAAACCAGGGCTAAACTTCAAGGGAGTTGGTTCTGGGGTTAAAGGAGGATTTGAATTTGGCACTGAAGCTGTTGAGAGGGGAGCCTCCTCCACCCCTGGTTGTAGGAAGTTGATGCAATTGCCATCTTTGATTTTTGCTTTCAAGAGTTAACAAAACCAGCAAATCCTACTCTTCCCCCAGGGCTGAGCTACAGAAACTGAGATGAAGCACTTCAAATTCCAGACAGCCGCTGTAATAAAATGTGGAAATTGGATGCAAATTATTTACTACATTTATGATACCACATTATTTACTGGTACTGCAGTTTGATAATCACAGCAATAATTTTCAAATTACCTTTTCTCAGCATTCACTTTTATGAGTACTGAAATGCTTCTTAATGTTCTTAAGCAGAGAGGATTTCTAACACTTGTCCCATGCTCCTAAATTGAAACAATTTGCAAATGGCTGCAGAGGCCCAGTGAACTGAAGGCTGACTTTCAAGGACACAAATGGCAGTGAAACATGATTTCTTTACAGACAACAGCAAATTCAACTAATGACTTGTTGCAGACCACACAGGAAGTTTTACATAAAACACAATGTTAAATCCACAGCTCTCTATTACTGGTTAGTGGTGGGAAATAAACAAAAAGCCACTAACCCAACTTTCTTCTCCTACAGTGACTGGCTGTGTATTTCTGAAGAGCACACAAGTCCCTGAATCCAGTAGAATTGAGATGATAATCTGCACCTGATAAGATGCACCCTGGGACACCTGTTCAGTATTGACTTGCTCAGGCATAATTGTTGGCTGGGACACATGGTAAACCAGGACATCAGATACCTACTGGGAGGAGGTGGAAGATCAGAAATAGGATCTGGGAGCCAGTATCTTGCCATCCTACATATCCAGGCAGGCAGGATTGTAAAGCTGACTATGAACAGGAAACTTTTCTCTCCCTTGAAATCAATTATCCATTAGCAAATTAACCAGAACAACAGGACAAGACAGATCTGAGTACTTCAGAATAAACACAGCAAGGCAAGACATGCTGACCCTCACAACTTCTAAGAGATGCTCAGGGAGAACAATCTCCCAGAAGCTATCCTCCATCAAAATCATCTGACTCAATATGAGACACTGAAATATAATTATTACATGATACATGATGGTCATCCTTCAGTTGTTTCACTTTCCTAATGTCTGCACCCTTGGATAAAGGCAGACATGGATTACTTAACTGATGATGCACACAGTGTGTATTTTTGTCCCAGAGCCACCCATAAACAAAAACACTGTTATATACTTATTGTGTATAATGCAAGAAAAATAAAAAAGCAAAACCCAAAACACAGTTATATACTTATTATGTATAATGCAAGAAAAAATAAAAAAGCAAACCCAAAAGCAATGAGTCACTTCCCTGAAAGCAATTTGCTTAATCACGTGCATGGTCATCCTGAGTGATGCCGTTGTGAGTATGCTGACACATGTTCAGTTTGCTTTTCTCCCTGACTAAAGGAGAAATGTCTGTGAAATACTCATCCACATCAGCAATTTCATGTGTTGCCTCATTCTCGTGCTTTTGCTCATGAAGGATGCTGTGCATGATAGGCCAGGGCAGCAGGTAGCAGCGAGATATGAGCAGTGCTCTGCTCTGTGCCACACAGCCAGCACAGAGGAGCAGAGCAGGAAAAGCCTGGAGTGAACATAAAGCTGCTCATGAGCTTGCTGAGGCACCCCTGAACTGCCAGTTACTGGAAGTGATCAGCCTTTTTGCACACCTCTGCACTGCAACTTTGGCTGCTGCCACACAAAGATGGAATTTCCCTCACCTAAAGCACCAGTGTCTGGGCTAGTTCTGTGAGCTGCCTTTCAGGGTCACAGGGGAGAGGTCCTCAGCTCACATCTACTCATGACCACTTGCAACAGCCACAGGAGCTAAGTTCTCCTAAGGATTAAAGCAATCAGCAGAGGCAGTGTGTCATCATAAAATATAAATTAGCATCATCATAACATATAAGCAAGCACAATATTATGGTAATACCTTACTCTTACTCCAGGATTACCACCCTTATCCTCACTGCAAAGCCAAATTTGCTTCCTATGGTCCCTATCCCATGAAACCTCTTGGTCTGCAGCGGGCTCTGAGGGCTGTGCACCCAACAACTCATCAGACATATGCTGCCCTTCCTTCCTACTCTGGGAAAGCAGTGATGCTTTCAGCAACACAAACCAGCTGTATGTAACGAAGTCTGAAATTACTCATGGATTTCAAATTCACCACCTGTATCGTCTCGACCCTGTGTGTTTTACAGGAGGTTTATTGCTCGACCAGACAACTCTTTGCAGAATTACAATGCAGGCTTTTGCTCACAGGACAGAGGAGATATTTGTATTTTGCAATCTGCATTTATTTGACAAACTCACAGTGAGAAATTCTGTTCTGCTATAACCACAGATTGCCTTATTTACAGAGTAAAACTAACCATTAGTCTAGTGAGACAACTAGGCAAACACAATTAATTAGCAAGTGTGTAAACAAAATAGGTCTGCATCAGCATTCACAAAGCTGAACCTTTCAACCACAGGGAAGCCTTTACCTTTTGTCTGCTTTTCTTGGATTTCCTCTCCAGTGGTGAAGTTCAAACAGCCCACAAGGTGCCCCTCTTGCCATCATCCCACTACTGTAAAAACTGTTCCCATTTTCATTAGGGACATAGGGGAAGAGTGTGATTCAAATCTAAGCAGAGGGGACCTGTGGAGAGGTACTGAGATGTTTACTCAGTACCTCTGAGCTCCCATCTTAGTGTTTGGGTGTTTTCTTCTGGTCCCTAACAACACAGCCTGCCAAGAGATCAAGCTCTCACATATGGATCCAGCTCTTGCAAGTCCATCATACACTAGTGCTTCTTGTTATGCTCAAGGCTACATTTTCAGTTGATTCGGCTGATTTTTTGAGATCATAGGAATGTCTGATCCCATGTGGAGTACTCAGTAACCCCAAAAATCCTGTCAAGAAGAATAAAGTGATGGAGAACCTGTGCTGGTAAACCATAGCACTCCAAAACCCAGAACAAAGCAAAGAGCAAGCTCAGCTCAGAGTTCATAACCTTGCAGAAAAAGTATTGGCTTCCCAGTGTCACCGTATCTTAATGAACACACATCCTCCCTTTAAAGATTTCATCCCAAACCATGAGCCAGCAATCCACAAGAAGCTATACATTTTTTATAACACTCATAAGGGTCCATAAAATCCATCTAGTCTTTTTGTTTTTCCCTGATACAGACTTTTTTTGTCAAGAATCATCTTTCAAGTAGTGGAAGCACCATGTTTCGGAGGGCTGGCCAGCCCAGTCCAATTCTGTTACCTCCTGAGGTCTTCCCAGTCCCTGAAGGATCTCCTCTGTCTACTTGGATTTTGTGTTTGATGGAAATGCTCTTCAGCCTCCAAGTCTGAAAAGTGCAGGTTTCAATCACGCCTGGTTTTATTCTGAGGAAGATCAGATGCCGTAGGTTTGCATTGCTCCATGTGGGATTTGCTGATCTGCTGGGATCAGAACTGGAGTGAGTGCTCATCCGTGGAACACCTCCCATGGAATGCCTTGAACAGAGAACCCAGACAAGAGCAAACCTTCCCCCCTTGCTTGCAGGGTACTTCCTTCTGCACCCATGAATTCTTGGCACACCTGTATTTACCTGTAAAGAAATACAGAAGTGCTCAGTCTGCACTTTGGCCCTGAGGCATCTGCAAGACAAAACTGGCTCTGGCTTGTTCTGCTCTGATTCCAGGAAAACAATTAAATCAAACCCTGAACAATACACAGGATGAAAACAGATGTGCTTTACCTCCTTTGATAAATATTTGGTCACAAAAAAACCTGTCACAGGTGGGAACACAGATTCTAAGTTGCAGCCTTCTGTGCCTTTTGCCCTGCTGTTCTCTCTTTCCTTGGGAAAAAGATGGTTCCTTGCTCCAATAGTTTTTCATGAGGGATACAAATGGAAGCAACCCCCACAATGGAAACCAAGAGAAGCTCAGGCCAAAACACAAACAAGACTGGCATTAGGAGACTCATTTTTACAGCTCCACTGCAAACCAGTAAATTTGTGGTTTTTTTAAGAGTCTATGCCTTAACATGCAGCTGAAATAGGATGCAATTTATCTTTGGATTTGGGCTTTTTCCTTTTCCTTAATATGCCAGGTGCTCACCTGGATTAGGAACCAGACTCAACAAGGGGGTTTATGCAGAGGAAGGAGCACACAGAGAATCACCTACTTAATCTCTGTACTGACTTTGGGCATTCACCTTGGGCATACTTCTCTGCATTTCCTTCTGGCTGGTTTGGGGAGTTTCTCGCTTAACTGGCTGCTTTCTCAGAATCTCATTTTCCAATGTCCATGTACTGCAGTGCATAAACCCATTTATGGGTTGCTGTCCCACAGTTTGTAAAGCAGACAAAAATTTTACAAATCCCATGTCCACAGCTTCACCTTTTCTGGCATTTGAAACAGGAATAGAGAAACTGAACATCTGTGAATATGAGCAGGCAGCATAAATTCCTTCTTTAGTTTAAAGACTGCAGTCACCACGAGACTGGTTTTATAAATCCTTAGTCATGCAGCTTCTGCCCCTCAGCTCTGATGCAGTAAAAAGTATAAGGAATTATCAGTTTATTACTGTTACCTCTGCATTGAGACTGCTGCTTAATGATGCAATCACGAGGTTCAGTTAAAGCAATTTTCTTGCTGTAAAATCCCCATGTTGCATTTGAAGCATTTCCCTCTGATACATTAAGAGCTTTTATAGCTGACAGGTGACAACTGAGGTGAGATCAATAAATACAAGGCCACTCTACCCATTCCAGCCTTGAGCTCCTTTCTAAAGACAACCTGCAAACAGGAAAGATGCTGAGTGTTTTCACTTTCATTTCTCTTCTGATGTAAAAGCAGATGTGAAATAGCTTGACATTAGAAATAGCAAAGCTTGTTTTCAGTTCCTTACTGGAGTTTTCTTTTGGAATAAATTCTACTTCTTTTTGAAGGGGTTTTTAAGTTTTCTCAGGATGAAACTGAGGGGTATTTGACTGTGATTGCTAAACATTCAGATGATTAAAAAATATCAGAAATGTAAACTATATTGAAAGGAGTGCAGAATTAAGAGTTCTAGGAATACAATTTAAGGAAAGTTAAATGTAGGGTGTACTTTTTAATGAGTATAATGAAAAGCAGAAGTATCACATAGGGAAAAAAAAAACCTATTGCCTATCCAGTCTTCTTTAAAGATAGATAAAGGAATAAATTTCTAGAGTAAAATCCCCAATCAGTAAGGGAATACTCAAAAAGATGACAAAATGCCAAGGGATAGTATAAAAGCAAGAAATGGAAAGTACATATGAGACCATAGATGAGTTAGTAGTGCCTCGGTCCTACAAACTCCCATCCTACCAACCTTAAAATTACAGTGCTGTTGTTTTGCAGAATTACACAGTAACTACCATAAACACAGTAACAAGTTGGAGAACAGCAAATCATTTAAAACCTCTTCCCATAAAGACAGGCCACATTGTAAACTGCAGTTCCTCAACTGTGCAAAGAGCTCAACGCACTTAACCAACAGTATTCAGAATTTATATTGTACTTCCAGTTGCAAAGGCTTCACAAATATTTGGGCATAAATAATTCTCCCAGTCTGCTGGTTTTTGGCACAAGCTGGAGGTTATCAGTCACTGGTGCGAGTGAGGAACACTCACCTGTACCCTCATGAGGAATTGTGTCAGCCAGAGAGATGGCAACATCCACAAGGAATGACACAAAGCAGAATTTTCAAGTCCTTTTTTCTTTTTTTTCCTTTTTTCCTTTTTTTTTTTTTTTTTTTTTTTTTTTTTTTTTTTTTTTTTAATACAGATCTGATCCTGACCCTCCCTTTGAGAGACAAGTAAATATTGTTACTCCCAATGGCAATAACACTCCAGTCTCAGATCTTCTTTTGGAGTATCACTGCATCCAGAAAAATTTCCAGCTTGTTCCCTCTCCTATTAAAGCTATTGATAAGGTAAATGATGATTTATTAATGCTGTGTTTCTGCAGCACAGAATTTTAGCAGCAATAAATCTCTGTTCAGACAGGTGACATAATAATCTGAGCTTTCTACAAATGACTTAATGTTTCTTGGTGGTTCCTAGAACAGTTCATATTTCCTACTGAAGTAGTTTCAGTAAAAGGTTAGATTTTTAATTTCATTTTATTGTCCTCTTGTCCTGTCTGGGTTGGTAAATTGGTCCAGTTGATCACCAAAAGAAAAAAAAAAAAAAAAAAAAAGATGTGCTATTCCTCAGCCTTTTCCATCTGTGAATTTTTAGGTATTTTGTGACTCATACAGTAAATCCAAATGGAGAAATACATAAACCAAAGGGCCAGGTCTGAATTCACACACTCCACCCTTCTTAAGGATTGTGAGTCAAACTTCATTCCATCAGCACTGGGATTTTGATAGATACTTTTTTTTTTGTCAACCTGATTCCTTCAAATTCACATGAATATGCACACATGCACACACAGGCATTTTAAAAAGCTGCCCCTTAGTGCAGCTCCTGAGAAATTTCCTGCTAATTTCCTTAATGCTGGTTATGTTTCTTCCCACACTCAGGTAAAGTTTAAAAAAAGTTCCTTTTGTTGTGTGTTTATAGGATTGGCATTGAGTACAAGATAAATCACCTTCTGTTGGCAAGATAGATATTACATAAAAGTCACCAACAACTTATTGCATTTCTAGTTCATTTTATTTCAAGCACCTTAGCTCAACAAGACCTGCTATTTTGCTTGCTCTTCCCCATGTCATTCTAATAGTCAACTTTCCTTACAACAAAGCCCTTCTCTGCATTTTTAATTAAAATCTCATCATTAGCATGCACATAAGAGAAGACAGGTGAAATTAACAGGGTCCTTTCCACTCTGAAGAATGCCTGGAAGAAAAGATATTGTGGTGATAAAACCCATTAATGAGAGAGGAGGAGGCAAGGTGTGAGCGATGTGGTTCCTGCCCTCAGCTCTGTCACTAAAGCCAAAACCTCACACGTGCACAGAAGTCAGGGAGGTTTCGTCCCACAAGTGATGCCAGAGGGGCCAACCTTGCTGCAGGAATAAGAAGGCAGAGGTGAAAATGGATAAGAAGAGCAGCATCCCTTGAGTTCAACAGTGCAGGACTGAAATTCAGCTGGGAACTGAAGTGGGTAAGTGCTGCCATGTTCTGTCATTGACAATGACGTGGATGGTGCCTGCTTCTCTGAACACTTTACCTGAAAATATCTTATTTCAGGACTAATCAGGAATCTCTTGCTGAAGAGAGTGTTTTTATGAGAGATTAAGAAACTGGGTTGGGAGTTTCAGTGCCTGACTTAAATATTGCTTCAACTTTTGTTAGTAGCTCACATTTGGGAGCTGTCTCTCAAAGGACTCCCTTTCCTGGCAGATCCCCAAACCTTGTTCAGAGATGTCATTTGAAGAAGGGTGTGATGAAATTTTCACAAGCAAAGGGGTGTAGTCTTGGCTGAAGTTTTTAATTACGATGCATTTGTTGTTTTTATTCCTGATTGTCTCACTGATGTTACTACACACCTCAGAGCAGCATCACAGGCAAGAACGGCAGAAATAATGTCACCTGCTTCGTGCCATTGCAGCCATCCAGTCTCTGGGAAACTCTCCTGCTTACAGCTGATGTAGTTTTACACATAACATGTTAATCTTGCAGATCTCCAGCTATTTGCCCTGTTTTATCAGTGCTTGCATCTATCTGCTCCACGAGGTAAGTCTGTGCCTGGAGAAGATGTGGCAACTCCAGAGTTACTGTACTAAAAGTGACTTGCCACTGCTTCACAAAGAATTGGGACATTTGGCCACTTGCTCTGGCTTACAGAAGGCATTGCCTGGCGCTTTAGACATAAGGGGAAGAAATTGCAGCAATTAAAAACAAAACCAGGAAGTTTTACCATTAGATAAGTCAATATTGCTGGACCAGATGTGGTAACACTTGAAGGCTGAAGCAGCTTTATCAGTAGGTTACTTATGAATTATTCCTTGGTGAATGTTCTGTTTTCTAAGACTTCTTAAGTGACTTTTTTTTTTCCAATTCTACTCCTTTCAAAATAGTTCTTGGACAGGGGAATGGCACAATGGGACAGGGTAATAACACAATTGCATAAGCTCTGCCTTCTTGGGTTTAATTGTGCTACCTCATGATCTTTTTAAAAGTCCATCTACTGAAATGTGATTTTTACTGGCAAGACAAGTAGCTTTTCATCTTTTTACCTCGTCAAGAATAGGAAAGAAACCCTGGACCAGGCTGCAGACAATTATTTATAATGTAGTGATAGTTTGTTCTTTGACAGGATTAGCTCTGTTCATGTATCTGGTAGATTATGAATTACATGCAAAATGCAGCATGTGAACTTGAAATCAAATGAAGAATGGATATAAAAGAGCAAGCTGCAAAAAGCACAAATGTAGTGCTCACTTAGCTAAAATTAATGGTGTGGCTTACCAGACCAACAAACCAGAACAGCAGAAGCATAAAAAAAAAAACCTGCTTGGAATAGATTTTTTCTTGAATGAGGGGAAAGTAGAGGTGATTGCAGTGTTCAGTTTCACCAATATTTTGTAGAGGACTGTAAGGAATTACTTTAACATGATTTTAATAAAATAGGCCCTTCCAGATAGGGGGAGAACAATCAGAACACTCTGATCAGCATCTCTTGTGATAAAACTTCTGTTACTACACCTGACCTTAGCGTGGAGAGTCACAGCTTTGGATTTTGCCCAAAGCACCCCAAACCTCAGGGTACAGAAGTGTTCAGTGAAGTCCACTTTCACAAAATGCTTCACCTAAATACCTGCTTGCTGCAAAGTATGTTTCGTGCCTGTTTTGGAAGCAACTGATGTTGTCTAACAAAAAATCATCTGGAAAAGCAAAATCAGATGAGACTAGGTGAGAGCAAAACCACCCTCAGGGGCAGCCTAAGAAACACACTGACAGCAGTTCAGTGCCAGCATGCCATTGCCACAAAACCTCTAATGGGCAACAAAAGGCAATAAAAGGCCTGACTAAATCTATGCAACATTTGGTATGCCATCAAGAGGTCTAAATTCAGGCTCCAGTATAAATTCTAGGGGAAAAAAAATCTCTTAGCCAGATGGTTTAACAGGAATACATTGCACCAGCCCTAAAGCTCTCCAGAAAGATTCCAGGTGATCCCAGAAGCTGAAAGCAGCGTGATTCTTACAATATCCATAGGCATATGTGTAGAAAAATGAGTTTTCAGATATGCTCAAGGCTATTAGAGATTACAGCTAACACACCTTTCAGGGAATAGTAAAGAAGCAACATTTCTTGCTGGCCAATGCTGGTTGAAGATTATCAGCTGCAGAAGCAACTCACAGTCCCAGCTAAGAGGTTTAAATGTTTACCAGTTGATTAATAGGTTTGTAATGTAGGATACAAATGACTCAAAATGAAAAGAAGGCATTTCATCCTAAAGAAAAACAAATATCTCTGGATCTGCTTATTCTACTCTCCTCTCTCTGACTGATGTCCTTGGACCTCACTGGGTGTGCTCCTCCTGCAAACACCCACAGGAAAAGCAAACACTCCTTGTGCAGAGCCCCATTCCCCACTGCCAGCTACAAAGAGGATCACATAGCACGTCTGGCATCCTGTGAAGTAGCATAATCATTTAAAAATGATGAATTAAAAAGAAAACAAAATTGCTTGGAGAGGAGCTACAAAAATGTCAAGCCAAAGAAGAGCCAAATTCTCAGCATTGTAAGATGGTATTTGAAGATGTGGAGGCCGCAGAGTGCTCTGGGTAGTCCAGATTGGACATTAGGATATGTTTTTGATGGGAGGATGGAAAAACACTGCAGCAGATGGCCTTGGAGGTTTTCAGGACCTTGCTAGACAAGACAACCCATGAGTTAGTGGCAGCCCCAGTTCAAGTGAGTGTTTGGACAATGATTTGCAGAGTTCCTGCCAGCCAGTGTTGCTGTGCTCCAGGTTCACAGGCACAGACAGATCTAGAAGGGAATTTAGAGAGTAATTCCATTTATTCTAGGAGGTAAACATGATGTGGTAGTATTTTGTCCATTTTTCATGTTATCTTGTTGGTGTACACTTCCAGATGTTATTTATTGCAACAAACATTTATGAAAAGTGAGTTAAGATATTCTTTCTCCCCTTCAACTGTTTGGCCAGTTGTTCACTTCTTAAATACTCTCTTCTGATGAGAAATTTCTCCAGCTTCTCTGAAGAATTTGGTTGCTGTTTGCTTTCAACAAATTTTTCCTCTCCTCTTCATATTCATGATGTTTTCTAAGTAGCCAGTACTTAGGATGCAGAAGTAAAGATTCCAGTTGTGATTTTATAGTTGCTCTGTGGGTCAGTCCCCCACCTCTGTATGGAAAAGAATCACAGAATGATTTGGGTTGGAAGGGACTTACAAACCATTTCATTCCAGCCCTCTGCCATGGGCAGGAACATTTTCCACTATCCCAGGATGCTCAGAGCCCCATCCAGCCTGGCCTTGGACACTGCCAGGGATGGGGAAGCCACAGCTACTCTGGAAGGAGGACAGGAGTCTCATTAAAGAGCACGGTTCCCTAGTTTGTTCAGCTGATGAAAAATTTCCAGCTAGTGGAAGAACTCTAATATATGCAATCTCTTTGGAAATAGCCTTGGAGCTGTGTTTTTTAGTAAGGAATACTGCTGTCCCAGGGAGACAGGAGACTAGTTAAACCATAGAAACCTAAGAGAGTTTTTGTCCATGCTTACACCGTTTTGTCTGCACTCCCTATCATCTGTCTGTTTGCTTTGACCCTCACCAAACCAGGCCAGATATTTGACTGCTTCTCTTTGGTCAGTAATCCTTCTGAGCACACTGATTTTTTTTCCACAGTTTTGAGTTAACTCAAGTGGTCAAGCTGTGGTCATGCATGGCTAATTACAGTGGAAGGAGAAAAATGAGTACATTGATTAACATTCTGTTCCTTTGGAGAGACTGAGAAACAGCTTTGGCAGCTCCAGCTCCACTGACACCCTGCTGGCAGCTCATTGCCTGTGCTTCTGAATCGCAGTAATTCCTGAAAAACGTGGCAGATCCTTGACTGGGAACTGGGAGGGTAAGAACAGAGTTCTGGGGATTTGGTGTTTGATGCAGTTTTAAAAAGCTTTCCTTCCCTGAGCCCCCATGGCCTTTCTCCACAGCAGGCTCAAGCGCTGCAGGCTTAATTACTCTGCTTCCATTGGTGCACAGAGCTCTGTGCTCCTGAGGGCTCCACAAGAATTCCATCCAACAGGACAGTGAGAGATCCAGCATTACACAACTGGTCCTGCTCATCCTGTGGAATGTGCCTGAGCTGACTGCTCCACCTCTCTGTGACACTGGACCCATTCAGGGACAGCACACACAAGGCTCTGGAATTGCTCTGTGGGAACCAGATCTTCTGTTGACTTAAATTAAGACCTTAAACATACTTTTTTTTTTCTTTAGTGTTCTGCCTCGTTTTTATCAGACCCAACTCTTTTCTTCATGCTGTGACAATTAATTGGATTATTTTCATTTAAAGATCCAAGCCCACAAGATAAGTGGAATGGAACAGAATTGTTTTCCTTTCCCTGCTCTCCCTCATTAGTAGTCTAAACAAGTGTGAGGCTGCATTAAGTTTGTAGCTATTTTGTTAGCTTGAAATCACTTTCTTCTCTTCTGCAGATGGAGACTGTGCTTAGATCATTATATTCCAGCATGCAATTGTGGTATATTAAAAGTGAAACGGCTACTTTATGGAATTTATGCTTGCAATTACCTTGGTAGTGGAAAAGGATGGCAACAAAAGTAAGTTGCACAAAGAAAAGCAGCAAAAAGCAAATTACAGCATGTTTACATTATTTGTAACTGTGAAAAATGGCATAAAACACTGTCTGAACAAATCTCTATGCTAAATTGGGCAGATGTTGGTATCACTGCAAACACTGCCTGCAACACAGGTGAGCCCCCAAAATGTCATCCCATTTAGTGGGTTTGTCCTCACAGGATGATTGTCTCAATTTCACACGGGCTTGACCTAAAGACGCAATGGTTGACCAGTCTGTCTCCTTAGTAACCTCTGAGAACTCTTGCTGGAATGCCAAAGCTGCTGGGAATCTGTCAGAGCAGTGAGTGCTTCATCTGGAAACCTTCAGAGGGTCACTTTTGAGGTGGATGGGAGAGGGTAGTGTTATTTATTGACATTAAAGCTCCAGAATGCCAGAGATTTTGCTGGGTTAGGCCAGTACACTCACATCTTCATGTGCCAGATTCAATTACAGTCAGTGCGTGGATATGTTTGCAACTAGGACAAATAAATGGACAGGGATCCCATAATATTTTGGTCAAGTGAGAACTGATTCTTGAGAGCTTATTCAGACTTCACCAGCAAAACAATTAATCTTTTCCTAAAAAATGGGCTAATTTTCTGTATCTTCATAGTGATTGCGTGAGACATAGAAAAACTGGTTCTTAAATCCGTATTTCAAATGAGAATTACACTTTGGTTTTGAAGTGTTTTGCCTAGAATCTCCTGCTTCACTTTAGGTGCTAAAGGTAGCTAAGCCAATTTGCAAAGCCAGCTCATTTTGTAACCCTGAAGATTTTTTCCTGCATTTCATTGATGTGTGAGAAACACCCAAACATCAAGGGCTGATAGCTCTAGCTCTATGAAGAGTTTTCTCTCTCTCTTTGTTTAGCTGTCTAGGTTGGAGAAATGACTTTTCTGCAACTTTGTCACTGAAGATCAGATTAGCATTGAAAATCTAGAACAGACTTCTGCTGTTAACAAACAGCAAACAACATGGAGAACACTCCCTATCCTCTTCAGTAAGAAGAACCAGTGATGAAAGGCACAACAAGAACATGCTTCACACACACTGGAAACAGAGGACAACCTCTGCCAGGCTGTCAGTGGTTGGGGAAATGCTGTAGGAGTAGTCAGGTACTGCTGAGTGGACTTAGGGAACAGGGAAGGCTCTAGGCAACGGAGCTGGAAGACAGAGAGTGAAAGGACTGGAAGTGTAAATCAAGAACGCAGCAGAGCAGGGGTTGTAGATCTGTGTGAGTACTCAGGATGGAGTTTTTCAGGCTTTCAATTATTCCATTGAAATTGAGAGTAGTGGGAGAACAGGGCAGAAAAGATTAAATAACTAAAGCACTTGCCCAAACCCTGGGATTTCATCACCATCATCTCCTTTTCTTCTAGACTCATGGTTCTGTGAATTTTGTGAAAGCTTAGGACAGGAGAGATGATTTAAGATGCTTGAGCCCTTAAGGATTTACAGTGCTTCCCTAACCTTGGATTAGCTTAACTTTGGGTTAGAAAAACCTTCTAAGTTCTTTCCAGTGATCCATTGCTTCTTCCACCATGGAAACAGCAGCCCTGCTCTCAAGACTCCTTGATCCTTGGACGTGTGGTTTTCTCAGGTTATCTCTGACCATTGCTCTGATCTCTTCCCTTACCAAACTCTCCTCCCTTCCATGCAGCTCCTGCGAGGTACAGCTGGATCATTCACATTAGGAATGGAGTGCCTGAACATGAGCACATCATTTATGGTCTAAGCTTATACCAGCCCTTTCTGCCCAAACCTTTCATGGTTCCAGAAGTGCTTCTTCACAGCCTCACTGGGAGTTATCCCATTTCCTTGTAATCCATCCTCTTACCTCCCACACTGGTTCCATACACTGAGCTACAGGCTCTGGAACCACAGGTTTTGATTCTCTTGCAACTGAACATCAATCCATGAGAGGAGAACATCAATACTGAACATCAATACCAAGGGGCAGAGCTTGTCACTCCAGCCCCATTCCCGTGGCACCAGAGCCAGCCTGTTGCCTGTGACTGGAGTGTGGTGTTCTGAGTCACATCACCAGACATGGCATCTCCAGTTCCAGTCAGGTTGGTCAGTCTCTGTGCCTCCTGTGCCTGTTTGGCTGTCCTTGGCTCTCCTGTGTCAGCCACACCGTGCTGTGGTGCCAGCCAGCCCCTCCAAGCATGAACATCCATTCCCTAGGCTCTTCCAGAAGCTGTGCTCACTGGGGCTTCAGTATCAGGCCCTAAAATAGATGTATTAGGGTTGGAAAACGGGGAACAGAATGTAACAGCAAGTTGCATCATTTTGTTTACATCTTGTTCCAGTTTCTTTTTTCCCTAATTTATTTTGAGAGCTTTATGTCAGACAGAAAAGCTGCATTTGATCATCATATAGGAAGCAAACATTGAGTAAGAAGACAGACTGTGGTTAAGCTTGCAACACACAGTGACCTTGCATGTCTTGGGATAATGCGAGAAAAAACAATGGATTTAGCAAAGAATCTGCAGAGAATCTTTGCTAAGAAGAAAAAAGCATAGGATCACTGCTGAACCAGTGTAAGAACAGACCAAATATATTGACTAAGAATAAGGTGTCTGGAAAACACAAGTATTTTTGTTTAGTGTATTATTTTGTATCCCTGGGATTGACTGGGAAAATTGTCACCTTCATTTTTCTCTGGAATTTTGAAGAAAGGACAATGCTGACTGTACTAACTGATAAATAATACTTAGCTTCCTTAATTAAAAATTGTTATTATTAGTTAGTGTATTTGTTAGCTGTTTTGTTCCAGACTTTCCATGTTTCTTTGTTTATGGAAAAAGATCATGTACTAAATATGTCTCTTGCAAGTCCACCAAGGATTTACTCCAAGGAGAATCCAGGAATAATATTTTAAGAGATGACGTTGTTTAAGCGAACTCAGCTATAAATATTTTAATTGCTTACAAAACAAATCAAATTTGTCACATCCTTAACTCCTGCCTGAGGAATCTGGTATCTCTGTGCCAGGAAGAACTAGGCTGTGAGCTCCAAATTGACTGCAAAAGTCACAGCCAAGACAGAAATTCATGCTAAAAAAATAATACTACTTACATAGGAAAGAAGTAATTTCAATGGTATTGAAAACTGGCGAAATCCTGGTTTTGGAAGGGCTGCTGGGAGTTGCTAAGATGTTCAGGATATGAGTTGACAGTCTGTAAGGTGACTATACCAATTCCCTTGATTTTGCAGAGCTGAATGAGTTGCTTTGTTCCTTAGACTATACACATGGAAATATAAATGGTTTCTCTGTGACGCAGATGCTATTAATATAAAGAAAGTTATCTGGGCTTTCAGGAAAGTATAAACTAGAACTTTCTCAGAAAGGGTGTGGATACAGAACAGTCTGTGGTTGCCTGTATGGAACAGAGCTGGACTGTTTCAAATACCCTCAAAAGGCACCTCATTTTTAGAACTGAACTAATATTACTTATTTGTTGACATTATTTAACTTTTTCCTATGTTTAAGAGACATAGCAAATGATGTGCTCTGCCTCTGGATTAAGAGATGAAGTAAAAATTATGTACCCCTGAATAAATTCATGTTTTGTCCATATTTTGAATGGTGAAATTATGGTTCCTTTCCTTCCAAAAATGTAATAGAAATTGCAACATTGCAACATGACTGATGAAAGTATGGAATGGTTTCCAGGCTAGGAATAAAGAAAACTGAGAAGGAACAGCATATTAAAAAAAAAAAAAAAAAAAGAGTAGCACTGCCAGGATTGACATGAATTGACAGTTCATCATCTGTGCTAGTAACAAATTCAGAATCCACACTAAGATGCCCTCAGAACCGGGTTCAGGACAAACCAAAGGAGATGAATTTCACTCAACAGACTGTCCCATGTGCTGGGAATACAAGATGTTTCCAGGATTTTAAGAGTAGATTGCACAAACATTTGGAAGAGCAAAAGCGTTCAAGTTATTATTTAGACAGACAACATCTGCCTTGGGATAGGTGAAGGGTGAGAGGGTTTTAAAGGAATCCTTTGTGAATTTTTCCGTTCTTCCTTTTCCCTAGATGTCAAGCCATGATCACCAGGAAGGCAGAAATGTGACTGAGACAGAGCCCAGATCTCAACCAGTGCAGACATTCTGATGTCATTAGCTATTTTTAAATATTGATGATGATTTCTTAAAGATGGAGCATGGCAGGAAACAACTGGGTGAGCAAACGTTACCCCTATGAAAGGTCTCACAGAAGTAAACCCAATGAATTTCTGAGCTGTCTCATTCTTCAAGAGTTTGCAGACCCAAGATCTTAACTGTTTAATTCAAATGTGAGATACTGTATATGAAATTTGACCATATGTGCCTCCTTTTAAATTTGCATTCCACCTATTAAGAAATTACATTTTTGTCCATGCTGCAGCATTTTCTGAATGTTTGATTCACTACTGTGCCCCAATGGAATCAGGCAACTAAAGATCTACAGTGCAAAATCTTATCAGAATTGTGTAGCAGCACAATGCTAAAGTGTTACAAAACAGATTAAAGCATTTGGGTTTTTTTCCTGGCCTTCTACCTGTTGAATATAAAAACCATAGACTGCTGTTATTCAGACAGACCAGGGAGCTACAAGTAAATTTGGATTACAAGTCGTATCAGCAGCAGCTAAAAAGGTCGCAATAAACCAGTAAAAAATTTGTGGGAATGTCTCTGAATGGCTTGCACTATGCTTACCTAGCTCTGCATTATTTTCTGACCAATCTCAAGTATTCTGGAATTTTTCTGGCTTATTCTTAAGAAATACACCTGGGTTATATTAGGAAAACAGAAAGAAAGAAAGAAAGGAAAGTCAGAATTGATTCCTAAATGTTGATGAAGTAGTTAGATGCAAACTACTCGGGAACTAAACGTTTCTAGGTTATTTCTGATGCTGATGCTTCATCTCCAGCATGACTCTTATACAGCAATTTGGATTTGTTACACCAAGTGACTGCAAAGAAAGAAATGTCAAACCCTCACATAAATGTCCTTTCTCTGACAAGCTCTCCCTCCTTTGAACTACAATAACGAGGACAACATTGTTTTGCTTTGCCACAGACGTTCCCTTAAGTTTTCTGAAGGCTTCAGAGGTTCGGTGGAATCTGACAAGAGGTATTTGGGCTTTTGTGTTTGCCTTTCATTGCTGCACCCCGGGGCCACCGGAGGAGCAGAGGGCACAGGAGCCTGGCTGGTTGTCACAGCCTGCAGGAGTGTCTAACTCCTATGTCTGGCAGCTTAAAGAGCTGCTGCCCTTCCACATGGTGAATAGGTGCTTATATTTCTATATTATGGGCTAACTCTGGAAATACATAGAAATAAATGTTTATTGGGCTGCTGGTAATGGTTACACCGTGTCACAGTTTGGGTTAAAACCTTAGGTATTTCTGTCAGCTCTCCTTCAACAACAAACAAATTCATCTTCTTGGTTTGGCTCTGCCACGGTTCATTTCAGGATGAGCATTTGGTTGTAAGTCTCTTTAGGTGTGCAGACCTTCAAAAACTATGGACAAGCTCAAATATTCACGAGGCACCAGCCCACTAACTTCAACTGCAACAGTGGTGAACCCATTAATCAGACTTTTATAGGAGTGAGATAACCTTCTATGTGTACAGCTCTGTTAAAAACATATATTTAAAATTAAAAAATGAAAATAAACCGTGTGTGTTTTGAGATGGAATGTCCGCTAACATAAATACTTTCATAGACACATAAAAATAGAAACATGAAATACTTAGTTTTTCCATAGGTCTGTTAAGCAACAGCCAGTGCTTTTATTAATATATGGTTTTTCTTTTTAATTGCACTTTTATTTAGAAAAAATTCACAGTTCTGACTTATGAGAAAAATTAAATGGAATCATACAGAAAACTCAGAAAGCAAACAGACATGCCTCATTCCTCTAAAACAAGAGACTGGTTCTTTATATGCCAGTAATTTTTTTAGTCTTAGGGAGCCATTTGTTTCCCTTTCTCTCTTGAAAATAATTAAATAAATGGAAATTTTCGCCACTTCCCCCCTCACACATCCACATACATGCACAGGACCAACAAAACTCAGTAATTTTCCACTGGCACCACAGCCTTTCAGTGTTTGCCATCTGCTGTGCTGGCAGGACCCACCAGAGGAGCTCCAGCAGCAAGGCAGGAACTGGAACGTCACATTGTGAATATTCATTCCATTTTCACTGTCACAGCTGGGCCTCCTCATCTCTCCCAGGCTGACCTTGCCTCCCCTGACTTCCCTGTGGCAGCTTTTGGGAACAGACATCCGGAGTAAGGTACTGAAATCAAAGCTTACAACTCACAAATACCCAAAATCTCCAATCAAAACCAGTCCCCATTCCTGCTAGGGAGCAGGGATGTCTGTCATTCCCACTGACCACTGTTACTGACACAGATTTTTAAGGACTTCTGCTCTGGGAAGAGAACTTTAGTGAGTACCACTTTTCTAGATCCATAACCAGTTTATTTTGAATTGGTTTATCGTACAGTGTCTTTTCACCTCTTGCTAATTCTGTTTCTGGGTTGTGTGACCATGCTTCCAACACAGTGAACATGAGTGCACAACATCATTAGCTCAGGTTTCAAACGTGGAACTGGGGTTCAGATGTCCCAAAGGACAGTCAGTCTCTTCAGGAAGCGCTCCTGCACCTCATCCAAGTTAAAACGTGCCTATTTTAGGCTTCTGTTATTTCAAACCTACCAAATCTAATGCTCTCAAAAGCTGGTCTCAGCAGATAGGTTCACAGTACTCGGTGAGGTCCATGGTGGATTCTCTGGGTCTGCTGTAGACCCTGAAATTGTGAGGTCTCTGGGCAAGAAATCTGCCTTAGTGCACAGAACTCTTAAGTTCCTTATCTCTACATAAAGACTAACGAGGTAAAATAAATAAAATCTGTCATTTAAGTCCTCCACATCAGCAACTCTCCTCAAGTCAAGTGATGACATCAAGACAAATTTTCCCTCACTTCCACACGGTCCACATCATGATGGGAGCAGATAATTGTCCTTTGTCATTCCTCCAATGTGAGCTGACAGATTTGCCTTCTGCATAGCTGAGGCCAGCCTAACTGCTGACTGTGAGACCCTTCAGTGAGTCCCGGCTGGCAGAGCTCACGGAGTGCCAAGGTTTATGCTGGGCTGGGGGGACAGGATCTTGGGATGCATTGGGAAGAGCACTGCCAGCATGTCAGGGGTGATCCTGCCCCTGTGCCCAGCCTGTGTGGCACATCTGGAGCGCTGTGTCCAGCTCTGGGCCCCTCAGCACAGCAGGGCCATGGAGCTCCTGCAGCGGGGCCGGCGGAGGCTGCAGAGATGATTCAGGGCCTGGAGCATCCCTGGCAGGGAAAGGCTGAGGGAGCTGGGGCTGTGCAGCTGGAGAGGAGCCCCAGCTGAGAGGGGCCCTCAGCCCTGGGTGTCCCTGGCTGCAGGGAGGGCTCCGAGCAGGGCCCAGGCTCTGCTCTGGGGGCCCAGCAATGGCACCAGAGCCGCGGGCAGGGACTGAGCCCAGGAGGTTCCACCTGGGCAGGAGGCACAACTTCTGTCCTGGGCAGTGACCGAGTCCAGAGAGGCTGTGGAGTCTCCTCACTGGGGACATTCCCGAACCATCTGGACACAATCCTGTGCTCTGGGATGGCCCTAATGGAGCAGGGGAACAGCGGAACAGCGGCAGCAGCCCCGGCGCTCCCCGCTCCGCTCCGCGCCCGCCCCGGCCCGTCCCGGGACGCCGCCGCCGCGGGGCGGGAAGGGGCGGGGCTGTGCGGGCGCGGCCAATGGCGGCGCGGGGCTCGGCGGCGCGCGGCTCTCGCGAGAGCCGGCGGGTAAACATCGGCCCCCGCCGCGGGCCCGCCCGCTGCCATTAGCGCGGGGGCGGCGCCGCGCTCGGACCGGGCGGGAGGTGAGTCCTGAGCCGAGCCGGGCGCTGAGGGGAGCCGGGCGCTGAGGGGAGCCGGGCACCCTCCGCCCCGGCACGCTGCCGCTGGAGAGTGGGAATCTTCCCCTGCCTCCTCTCCCTGCAGCGTGAGGCAGCAGCAGCAGCCATCGCCGCGGAGGCTGTGGGAGCGCAGCCTCGGCTGCGGGGACGGTCGGGGGTGGCTCGGGGCTGCGCCCGCCCGCCCCTCGGGGGACTCGTGTCCCTGCCCGCGGCGTGAGCTGTGGCTCGTCCCGCAGCCCCTCAGGCTGCGAGGCTGAGGCGCCCGGGGCTGCCGGTGCGGGGACAGAGCCGAGCCCGGCGCGGGGAGCGGGGCCGGGGCTGTGCGGAGCCCCCGAGGCAGGGCTGGGCTGCGCTCGTGCTACAGAACGTGGCTCAGGGCTTAAGGGTGTCCTGCCCTCTTTGGAAATAAATAAATAAAGGGACGAAATTATCTCCGTAATGCGCTTAGAAAAGCAAACAGCCTTCACAAGTTTCCACTCGCGGGAGGAGGAAATCCCAAACCTTGTGCCGAGCCGGAGGAGTTCGGGATTGAGGCCGCCGTGGTGGGGCTGTCCAGCTCCTGCTCTGTGCCTTTGGACGATTCTCACTGACGATTCTCAGGTAGAAGTTAAATGCTGGGAACTTGCAGAGGTCGCGCGGTTGTGGTTTGGTTTGGCTTGATGTGGAACGCCTTGGGTTAGAATAGCAGAGTTCACACGCGTGCCTCCTGTGCTGATGTACCTGGCTTCCTCTTGCGAAATCCACACTGCCTTGATGTAGCCTCTGAATCAAAAGCAATGCCGGCGTTTGATTTTTGGGTTTGTTGTTGTTTTTGTTGTTGATTTTTTTTTGTTTATTTGTTTTTTTAAGAGGAGTTTCCTATAAAATATTTGGTGGGATGTATTGCTTTTGCTTTTACCTTCTTTTTGGAGAGCAGTGGGTTTTTTGTTGACTGTAGCTGTTGGGGTTTGTCAGGTGTACTGATTCAGTATTTTGATTACAGTTTTTTAAAGTCACTTAAAGCAGAGGGATCTTGTTTATGAGTGTTTATGATGCTAATAAATCTCACAAGAGTTGTGCCTGCTCCATAAAAGATGCCTGGAATCTGAAAAATTGTTTTCATTCCTTATCCTTCAGGAATGAAAGAATATCAGCTTTTATTTTTACTCTGAAGAGTGAAAAGAAATAGGAGCCCACAGGCTACTGACCTGAGAGGTGATGATCAGTGGGCACCTTCATTGCATGTGAGGAATCTGTTACTGTATCTAATAGAATTGTTGCAGTTTTATCTTCTGTGCCACATGTAGACATGTTTTCCTGGCTTTGTCAAGAAATATCTTGGCTAGGAAAAGTGAAATTTGCATATCTGTGGGAACTCATTTGTTTTTCATAATATACATGGCATACTCTTCAATTTAAATCTTTTTGCTTAACAGAGCTTTAAGAAATTCTAAACACTTTTCAATTTTTGCTCAGTCTATGTTTAGTCCAATAAAAAAATAGTTCTTCCCACCCAGTTTAAGCTGAGCATTAGGTAAAATGTGAAGCCAGTTGATAAACTTTGATATTTGCATTCCAGGAGGTGTAGGGTAGACATGGAAATTGCAATGAAAAGAATTGCCTCTCTAAATGCAGTATTCATCAGCACAAAGCCTGCTAAGCTATATTATATGGTAAATGGTTTGCTTTTAGTCTCCCAGAAAGAGGCTTTGTGTCTTAGGGTAATGGCAGTTGACATAAATCAAACATACAATTGTCCACAAAATCATTTAATCTTCTCTTGTTGCTTGTTTCAACATATAGCAGCACTTAGAGCAGACCTGCCACTAGTGGTAATTGCATTGCTGTGGCTTGAAAATAGAGGTTTGATAAATAACTGGAGTCTAATTTTTGAGATGGGTTGGTGCAGAGTTTTTCCAAGTCTGGTGATTAAATAACAGCTTTTGTTGTGCAAAAAATTTTTATACTGGGGTAAGCCACTTTAGTATTGTGGGGTAGGAACTCAGGGAAGAGTTACTTATTTTGTGCTATGAATTTAAATAGGGAACTGTATTTAAGGTGGCAGAGTCTTGTCTTGAAGACTCAGAAATTAGTTTTCAAATGCAGCAGGGTAGACTTTATAATTTGATTAGTGCAGAAAATCCTGCAAGTCTGTAGTTTAAAACTACAGAATAATTTCTGGCAGTCCCACTTTTCCAGTATTTGCATTGGGAAGTAGTAGAACATTTTCCTCTTAACAATATAAAACAAAACAGAAAATAGGGGCAGTTATCGTAGTCAATATTGCTTTACTTGTGAAATCAGATAATCTTGTAAGGCATGCATTGATATCTCATTAAATACTTCTTACAGATTTAAAAAAGTGAAGGGAAATGGTGTTTCAGGAAAGAATACTAATTTTTATGCTTCAAATATCTGATTTTCTGATTTCTTGGTAATTTAGGTGTTGGATTTTGTATTCTGGTTTGAACTGTAGACTTGAAGCCTAGTTTGCGTTGTATGTCGTTAATATTTATACCTACAAACTTGGAAATTTGTTAGCTGACCCATGGTTTTATGAGAATTACAACTTTTAAGAATGTGAAGAGACCTAGAATTTAGAAGACTACTTCTATGGGATTTTGATTGTCTAAGGAACAGTTGTCTTTGTTTTTACTAGTAAAAGGAGCAGTGGTTGATTAAAATGGTAGCCTGGCTTTATGGAATTTCACAGGGGTGAGAATGTCCTGAAGTAGTAAAAA